ATGGTTTACTACAATATAGTAATATATAATACTGATATTGTGCTATGCTAATAATGAGATAAGTGAGATAATAGTGTAACACTGGGCAAGGAAGGGTTAAGGGGAGGGAGTGTGGTTCCCAGAGAGGCAGGGAGGAAGTGGGCCTCCTCATCACCTGTCTTTCCTGTCCTTCTAGGAACCAAACTCCCTCCCCTTCACCCTTCCTTGCCTGGCTGGGAGAGGGGAGTTGGCCCTGCCAGGTACTCCTCCTTCCTCCTCCTCCTCCTTTTACCCTATCTCTTTCCTCCCTTCCTCTCCTCCTTCATCTTCTTCTCTTCCTCCTTCCGGTGAGTCTTCTTCCCATTCTTCCTCCAAAGGGCTGAAGAGGGGCCGAAGCCCAACACACCTGGAGGCAGGGCCAAAGTGGGCCCAGGCCTCATTCACTCCCAGGTTGGTCTCCTAACACACGCAGAGAAACACACCCTGACCGAGAACAAAGAGAAGCCTCTTCCACAAACTGTTTAATATTTCCCAATGACTTGTGTTGGTTCTTTCGTTCCAGGCTTCAACGAGTCCTTCTTCTGACAAAACTGATGATGTCTGAAATAAATACAACATTCTTGGGATTACATTTTATTTTGATTGTTGACATTCTTCCCAATAGAGATGGGTCTAAATTCTTCCACCTTTGCATCTCTTTCCATAATTTTTCATCATTTTAAAATAATAGTTTGTCGTCTGGATTCCCAAATATTTTACTTCAGTTGTTATATATGATTTTTGTCTCTTGTTTCAAAGTCTCTTGGTTCTCCTTTACAAGAAAGGCTATAGATCACGAGGCATCAGCTCGAGCAGTGTTTCTCAACCTGGGGGTCGCGAAGGGGTGTCAGAGGGGTCGCCAAAGACTATCTGAAAACACAGATGGTCATGGCGATCAGAAGCTTGAGCCAAATCTATCATTAGTGGAGTTCAGAATGTTCTTTGATTGTAGTGAACTATAAATCCCAGCAACTACAACTCCCAAAAGTCAAGGACTATTTTACCCAGACTTCACCAGTGTTCACATTTGCACATGTTGAGTACTTGTGCCAAGTTTGGTCCAGATCCACCATTGCATAAGTCCACAGTGCTCTCCGGATATAGGTGAACTACAACTCCCAAACTCAGGGTCAATGCCCACCAAACCCTTCCAGTGTTTTCCATTGGTCATGGGAGTTCTGTGTGGCAAATTAGGTTCAAATCCATCACTGGTGGAGTTCAGAATGCTCTTTGATTATAGGTGAAGTATAAATCCCAGCAACTACAACTCCCAAATTACAAAATCAGTCCTCCCCCAACCCCACCAGCATTTACATGTGGGTGCATTCGGTAGTTGTGCCTAGTTTGGTCCAGTGAATGAAAATACATCTTGCATATCTGATATTTACATTATGATTTATAACAGTAGTAAAATGACTATGAAATAGCAACAAAAACAGTGTTATGGTTGAGCAAAAACAGTTGCTCACCACAACATGAGGGACTGTATTAAGGGGTCACGGCATTAGGAAGGTTGAGAACCACTGAGATGGAGGAATCCTGGGGGGATTCAGTGTGGGTTGGGACTGAATGGGAGCTCAATGGGAGGCCAGGTGGGTCTGGAGGCTGGAGAAGAAGAGGCCCAAGTGGAAGGAGGGCCCAGCATTACCTGGCTCTGGAATAAATAAAGGGCTTGTTATTTCACTCTCCAAGTAAAGGCCTCCCGAAGCCTGCTGTCTAATTCTGACTTTCTTTCACAGGGAAATTGTGATTGTTGGCTGAGAATTTTGGAGTAAAGCCGGTGGAGGACTTTCTTGGCCTTGAAAGAAGAGGATCCAATTGGCTTCTTCATCCATCAGTGGTTCCAACATGGAGAGACCCAACTCATCTGGACCTGAGGTAGGCAAGGCCCAAGGGAACAGTGGGGAATTCTGGGAAAGAACTAGGCAGACGATCATGGATGAGCACATACAGCGCCAGCGCTTCAGGCATTCCTCCTACCGAGAGGGCGAGGGATCCAGAGAGGTTTGCAACCACCTCCACTCTCTCTGCTGCCAGTGGCTGAAGCCAGAGCAACACACCAAGGCAGAGATGCTGGACCTGGTGATCCTGGAGCAGTTCCTGAGCATCCTGCCCCCAGAGATGGGGAGCTGGGTCCGAGAGTGTGGGGCAGAGACCTCTTCCCAGGCGGTGGCCCTGGCGGAAGGCTTCCTCCTCAGTCGGGCAGAGGACGAGAAGCAGGAAGGACTGGTGAGAGCATTGCCTCTTGGCTTCACTCACTTTGGGACTGATGGAGAGATTAAACGTACATCCTGCCTTCCTTCCAATGTGAGGGAGAAGTCAGTCTCCTTTTCCTCAGCTTGTTCTGCCCCTCCTGCTCTCACCTCCATATCCACTGTTAGCTCGATTGCTGCTCTACTCAAATTTGTTGACCCCAGATATAACATTGAAAATGATGGGAGGTGGAATATGGCCAATCTCAGAATGCACTTTCTGCACATTTGGAAAATACTCCTTTTCAAATCTTTCTCCACATTACTTCTGAACTTCTCTGTGTCCTTTCAGGCCCAAAATAACGGTACTGAAGTCCAGACTGATGTCTCTGCATTATCAGGCACCACCCAGCACCTCCAGCAGAAGGAGATCAAGCAGGAAGCAGATGAAGCTGCAGCCTTGGAGGGTAAGATGGAACCCTTCTGGGAGTTTTCATGTTTTATGCCAGTGTAAATTCCCCTTCAGGGGGATTGTAACACATCCTCAATCGGTTCGAGCTTGAGAAGGTGCACATGCAGGATAATTTGGCCTTATTTATTTATTTATCGTGTCAGGAACAAACCAAAACAGTTGTATTGCATTAAAAAACAGACAAACAAAACACAAAGTTTGCAGACTTGATATTCTATTACACGTCCTTTGACCAGTATCTGGCCACTTGGAATGCCTCTGGTGTTGCCGCAAGAAGGTCCTCCATTGTACATGTGCCAGGGCTCAGGTTGCATTGCAGTAGGTGGTCTGTGGTTTGCTCTTCTCCACACCAGCATGTTGTGGACTTCACTTTGTGGCCCCATTTCTTAAGGTTGGCTCTGCATCTCATGGTGCCAGAGCGCAGTCTGTTCAGCGCCTTCCAAATTGCCCAGTTTTCTGTGTGCCCAGGGGGGAGACTCTCATTTGGTATCAGCCAAATATTTGGCCTTGAGATGAGGATGTAGATATGGAATGGATAAAAAGTGGTGGAGACAATGTTAATACGGTACAGGGATAGGAAAATTGAGCTCATGAATGAACTTTAAAGTTATAATGGAAACTGTGGTATGGGTATGGAGTGGGGGGAGGAAAGAACTAAGATATGTTAGATGAATGAGTGGATAATATAGGAGGAAGAGAGAGAAATAGGAAGAGGTTGGGGAAATGTTGACATAGATGAATGACGTGTATGGAATAAATGTACAAAATCTATTCGTATAACAAATTATAATAATATTAATAAATATTTTTAAAAATATGAGTATACTAGCTGTTCCCTGCCACGTGTTGCTGTGGCCCAGTCTGTTGATTTGGAAAATAAAATAATGAGAAAATGTTGGTTTCTAATGTATGTAATGTCTTTATGCTTGTGGGTAAACAGTATTTCTTGCTGTTTCTTTGTCAGTGTTGATGTAGAGAGTGTCTGGTTTGCCTACTCTGGAACATGCAACATCTCATTGTCCTTCTTTAAGGGTCCCTTTCAAATCTATGATACTATATTTGCGTGTATGTGTGAATCATATATACCTATCTATATCTATGGCTGGATGGCTCTTTGTGAGGAGGGCTTTGATTTCATTTTCTTGCCCTGGTGAAGGGAGTTGGACTGGATGGCCTTAAGTATTTTCTGTTGGTCATGGGGGTTCTGTGTGGGAAGTTTGCCCCGATTCTGTCGTTTGTGGGGTTCAGAATGCTCTTTGATTGTAGGTGAACTGTGAATCCCAGTGACTACAAATCCCAAATGTCAAGGTCTATTTTCCCCAAATTCCATCTGTGTTCATATTTGGGCGTATTGAGTTCTTGCGCCAAGTTTGGTCCAGATCCATCATTGTTTGAGTCCACAGTGCTCTCTGGATGTAGGTGAACTACAACTCTCAAACTCAAGATCAATGCTCACCAAACACTTCCAGTATTTTCTGTTGGTCGTGGGAGTTCTGTGTGCCAAGTTTGGTTCAATTCCATCATTGATAGAGTTCAAAATCCTCTTTGATTGTAGGTGAACTATAAATCCCAGCAACTACAGCTCCCAAATGACAAAATCATAGTTTTTTGAGTGATGGTCACTCCTTGTGTTGTGAGGCGTTTTGTTGCCAAATTTGGTGTGATTTCGTTCATTGGTTCTTTTGTTTTTTAAGTTACTCATTATGCACAGAGTATTTATATATATATAGATTAATAAATATTTTTTAAAATATGAGTATATAGGTGTATTTGGTTGCAAAAGGCGTAATTGGTTAGGGCATGTAAAAATCAGTTGTTGAGTGTGTACACTGAAAATGCAAGGCACAAACTGATTGGTTGGGCCATACCCGGGGAGCTAGTTGAGCCTGGGAGTTTTGGTAACAGCTACATTTTTAGACTTGAGCTGTTCAGGTGCTCAGAGAGAGAGAGAGTTCTTGCTTCATGAGCTGCTGGAAGGGGATTTTCCACATGGACACCGAAATGCCCTTTATATCTCTCTTAAAGGACATTGTGTGAGTCAATGCAACTGTTCACACCATTGAATATGTTAGTCTGCATTACAAACAGTAAACTTTTTGTTCTTTACTGATCATCTGTGTGGCATATTTTCTTTCTGGCAAAAAGAAAGAAAATATGCCACACAGATGATCAGTAAAGAACAAGATAAAATGTGAACTACTCATGATTTTCTTTAGGCCAACATAATTTCAGTAAGATTTGCAGTTTTCTCTGGCAATACTTGTACATTTGCAATACCAAAACATCTCAGGGAGGTAGTCACTCGAGCCAGATTTGATCAGCTCGAGACAATGGTTAGATACGGGAGATTTAACAGCATCCCTTATAATGAACGGAGTTGTATCTGCGGGGCACCTGAAATTGAGGATATAGCACACATATTATTTGATTGCAAATTGTATCAAAAGGTGAGAGACTTCCACCTTGGTCCATATATCAAACGGACAATGTATTGGGAATCTCACATCAGAACAACATATTTTATGTGTGACCAAGACCTAAAAAAAACATATAAAACAGTTCTGCACTTAAGCAAAACAATATGTCTGAGAACCACATATGTAGGGCTGATTGGGGTAAATTGTAGGGGTGATAATGAAATATGTATATACTCAGCTTGATAAGTTTATCAGTTTTGTCACGTTTTATCATATTTATTTACTGTATTGTTATAAGTGTCGTATTTTAACTTACTAAGTGGAGTGTGATAAGGTCTTGACAGTCCTTGTTTTTCTGTTTCTTATTATGATATTGATTAGCTTAAGGGCTAATCAATAAAATTACTTACTTGTACATTTGCATATTGTTGTGTGGGACTAAAAACTCAGCCCTTCTCATATTGTCCTAAGTGGGATCCGAAGCTAAGATGCGCCCTGAAAACTGAGCTGGAAGACAGACAACAAACAATATCTTTAGTCAATCGCAATACCAAGCCCAGTACTAGTTTCACTCCAACCTATTCACAGCACTGGTTGAGATAAAAATTCCTAAACTCCAAAATGTTACCTATTCCTGGACTGGAGTTCATTTCTCATAGGCTTCTTTTTAGGACTAATTGTCACCTCTGAGACATGTCTATGTGATCAGCTTTCCACCCCTTGTTCTCTCTCCTAGGTGCTGAAATGATGATGTTGGCAAATCCACAGTGGTTTATTCCCCTTTGTGATGGAGTGGAAGTGAATCAGGTAAGCAGAAGGATTCCTGAGAGAGGAGGAAGAGAGCTGCCTGGGGGTCATTTCTTCCAGGCTTAATCGTCTCTTCAAACAGAAAAGATTGATTGGGAGATCCTTAAAAGTGAAATACTGAAGACACAATTGCAAACAGTGCAATTGGGGAAAATTCCTTTTCTAACCTTCCTCTGTGCTCCTTATGGAATTCTCTTGCTCTTTAGGTCCAAATTAACTGCATTGAAGTCCACCCTGATCTCTCTGAATCAGAGCAATCTCCATCAGACACCACCCAGAGTCTCCAGCAGAAGGAGCTCAAGCAGGAAGAAGATGAAGCTGAAGCCTTGGAAGGTAAGAAGGAACCCTTTTGGGAGTTGTAGTGTTTTATACCATTGCAGATTTCCCCTCAGGGGATTGTAGCACATCCACAATCGGGTTGACCTAGAGAAGGTGTACATCCAAGGATGGTCTTAAGATGAGTATATAGAGAGAGATTTGGTTGCAAAAAGTGCAATTTCAGTGTGATTTGGAGTTTTCTTTATTGTTATTCTTCTATATTTGCATACTGTTGGGTGGGACTGAAATATCAAGCCTATGGTATGTTCCCAGGTGAGGCCCAAAGCTAAGATGAGCCCTGAAACTGAGCTGGAAGAGAAACAGACAACAAAGAATAATTTCAGTCAATTGGAATACCAAGCCCAGTACTAGTGTCAATCACAGCACTGAATGAGATAAAACAGTCAAAAACTCCAAAACATTACATATTCCTGGGATGGAGACTGCTCCTGTGTTCATAGGGTTATTTCCCCATAGAATCCTAGAGTTGGAAGAGACCTCATGGGCCATCCAGTCCAACCCCATTCTGCCAAGAAGCAGGAAAATTGCATTCAAAGCACCCCTGACAGATGGCCGTCCAGCCTCTGTTTAAAAGCTTCCAAAGAAGGAGCCTCCACCACACTCCAGGGCAGAGAGTTCCACTGCTGAACATCTCTCACAGTCAGGAAGTTCTTCCTAATGTTCAGGTGGAATCTCCTTTCTTGTAGTTTTGAAGCCATTGCTCCATTGCGTCCTAGTCTCCAGGGCAGCAGAAAGGAAGCTTGCTCCCTTCTCCCTATGACTTCTCCTCATATATTTATACATGGCTATCCTGTCTCCTCTCAGCCTTCTCTTCTTCAGGCTAAACATGCCCAGCTCCTTAAGCCGCTCCTCATAGGGCTTGTTCTCCAGACCCTTGATCATTTTAGTCGCCCTCCTCTGGACACATTCCAGCTTGTCAATATCTCTCTTGAATTGTGGTGCCCAGAATTGGACACAATATTCCAGGTGTGTGGTCTAACCAAGGTTTCTTTTTAGGACTGTAATTGTCACCTCTGAGACATGTCTATGTGATTAGCTTACCACCCCTTGCTCTCTCTCTCCTTCCCAGGGGCTGGAATGATGTGGCCAAATCCACAGTGGTTTCCTCCCCTTTGTGATGAAATGGAACTGAATGAGGTAAGCAGAAGAATTCCTGGGAGAGGAGGGTGGGAGCTGCCTGGGGGTAAATTCTTCAAGACTTAATCGTCTCTTCAGACAGAAAAAGCTTGAATGGGAGTTTCTTAAAAGTGAAATACTGAAGGCAAAATTGCAAATTGCCAGCAAGAGAAAAAAAATAAGATAAATCTAAAGAAACTAGAATAAATGACTAAAGATCTTCCAACTTATTTGAAAGGGATGTGTACAAGAAATGGGGAAGGGGGTGGCCGGAAATCTCCAAAGAAGGATTCAAATGACTAACAGCATAAGTTGGGAAAAGGCCTGACTAGTTAAAGCAGAAAATGAGCTCAGGCTTGCCAGAGAAATTAAAAACAATGAAGTAGGGTATGTACTTGTGTCATTAGAAGAAGAAGAAAAGAACAATTAAGACCAATTAAGATGGTCCGCCCCAGGAGGCTTATGGATTTGGACAGATTCCTTGTGGCTCTTGGGGAATTTCCCGCCACCTTGGTAGGTGATCCATGTTGTTTAACATCTATATGAAGCTGCTGGGAGGGACCATCCGGAGTTTTGGAGTTCAAAGTCATCTGTACGCAGATGACGTTCAACTCTATTACTCTTTTCCACCTGCTGCTAAGGAAGCTGTTCAGATCCTGAACCACTGCTTGGGTGCTGGATGAAGGTGAACAAATTGAAATTGAATCCAGACAAGACAGAGGTCCTCCTGGTCAGTCGCAAGGCCGAACAGGGCATAGGGTTACAGCTGGTGTTGGATGGGGTAACACTCCCTCTGAAGGTGCAGGTTCACAGCTTGGGAGTGATCCTGGAGTCATCGCTGAGCCTGGAACCTCAGGTCTCAGCGGTGGCCAAGGAAGCTTTCCTACAATTAAAACTTGTGTGCCGGCTGCGCCTGTACCTTGGGAAGTCAGACTTGGCCATGGTAGTCCATGCTCTGGTTACATCTCGAATATATTACCACAACGTGCTCTATCTGGGGTTGCCTTTAAAGACTGTTTAGAAGTTCCAGATAGTCCAACGGGCAGCAGCTAAGTTGCTCACTGGAGCGGCGTTCAGGGAGCACACAACCTCCCTGTATTGCCAACTCCACTAGCTGCTAGTCTGCTACCGAGCACAGTTCAAAGTACTGGCTTTATCCTACAAAGCCCTAAGCAGTTCCGGCCCAGTTTACCTGTCCAAAGATATCTCCCTCTGTGAGACATTTAGGAGGTTAAGATTGTCCGGGTTGGCCCTGCTCTCGGTCCCACTTCCTTCGCAAACACGACTGGTGGGGATGAGAGACAGGGCCTTCTCAGTGGTGTGCCCTTGCCTCTGGAATCCCCTCCTTACTGAAATTAAATCAGCGCCCTCCTTTTTGGTCTTCAGGAAGAAAGCAAAGACATGGATGTGGGACCAGGCTTTTAGGCAGTAAGCAATGCAAAAAAACAAAACAAAACAAAACCACACACGGTTATATGCAATTGACTCTTGGAAAGGCCTTGGATTTTGGCTTCTGGATTTGTGAATTTATTGTTTTATATTAATATGTTTTAATTCCATGTTTAAAAGTCTAGATGTTGTTCTTTTTCTATTTAATATGGTTTAATTTAATTTATACTTTTATGTTATTGCTTTTTTTATAGCAGGTTTATATATATGTTGTAAGGCATTTAATTTTGCCATGAATTGACTGGAAACCGCTTTCAGTCACCCCAGGAAGAAAAGCAATATATACATGAAGCTAGCCAGGGTGCTCTCAGGGTTGGCCTTGGAGTCTCAGTGGCTAATAGTGCTGGGAGACTTCAACATCCATGCTGAGACTGCCTTGTCGGGAGTGACAACCATGGGTCTGTCCCAGGTGGTGTCTTGCCCTACTCATGCTGCTGGACACACTTTGGACCTTGTTTTCTGTGTAGGATGGGGTGATAGTGATGGTGGAGTAGCGAAAGTGCTCAGAATTCTGTTTTCATGGACCAATCACTACCGGGTCAGGTTTAGATTTTCTGGGACTCCAAACCTCTGCAGGGGTGGAAGACCGATTAAGACGGTCCATCCCAGGAGGCTTACGGATTCAGATGGATTCCTGACGGCTCTTGGAGACTTTCCTGTCACCTTGGCGGGGGTTCTGTTGAAGTTCTGGCTGACCTCTGGAATGGGGAATTGGCCTGAGCAGTGGACACAATCACTCATGAAGGTCCCCTCTCATGGAGCAGAGCCAAAGCAGCCCCTTGGTTTTCCAAGGCATTGGCGGAGATGAAGCAAGTGAGACGGAGACTAGAGCAACATTGGCAGAGAACTCAAAAACAGATCTGACCAAGCCAACAATGTGATGCAGCAGGTTAGAAGCCCATGGGATTTTGGGCTGCATCCAAAGGAATGTAGTGACCTCCTTTCTTCTTTAGTGAGACCTCGCCTGGAATAACACTGTGTCTGATTCTGGGCAACACAATAAAAGATGGAACGCGTCCAGATTCCATTTCAGATTCTACATATCAATTAAGAAGTGGTCGTGGCTGTGACCAACCGGACGTCTCTACAAGGCTCAAACTATGGGACGGAGACCTTAGCCCTTTCCCTTTTAAACAACCAACAGAAATGTAAATTTGCTTCAAAGAGTTTCTTGTAATTATTTTTCTTGATAGTTCTTATGTAAGGATTTTTTTTCTTTTTTCCACAGGGCCCAATCGCCTTTGAGGAGGTGGCTGTCTATTTCTCCCTGGAGGAGTGGGCTCTCCTGAGTCCTGATGAGAAAATCTTGCATGTGCAAATCATGGAGGAGATTCATGGGATGGTGGACTTTCTTGGTAAGGCTGATTGGCAGCTCCCTGGTGGGAGCGGAATCCTAAATCATCCCAATCTCTGAGAGTTCTCAAGGCAGGTCTTATGTTAGAAATATATGACATAAAAATAACATTGACTTGGTGCCTGAGTAACAGTGATGTTGGCACCAATTCAGACTCCAGAGGGAAGACTTCCATAGTCAAGTCCAAGCGTACCACACTTCTTCACAGCACCAGGGCCCCCTGGAACACCTCTCAAAAGTGTTCACCCCAGATTAGTCACACTATCTCTCTCTATCTGTGTGTGTGTGTGTGTGTGTGTGTGTGAGAGAGAGAGAGGCAGGGAAAGAAGCAGATAATCAGAAGTTAACCAAGCAAACCTCTCCTGACTTCAGGCACACATTTCCAGCCCTCTGGTTTTGCATCCTGTGGGCCCTTGGGCGGCTTGGAAAGCCACTGCCTGCCTGAAGCCAAAAGGAGTCTGGAAAATGATGGGAAAGGGTGGTTTTGCCAAAACTGACATGCTTTTCCCAGTAACTCGGACTCCCTGGAAATCTATTATTTATTTATTTACTATATTTATACCCCGCCCCTTCACACTCGGAAGAGGACTCAGGGCAGCTTACAAACTAAACCTGAATTCCTGATAGAATATGATCTTATGGGTTGTTATCATGATGTAAGGTAGTATAAAGTGCTATTCTTCTAGGATATAAGGTTAAAGATACACGGTACCAAGATTTTAAAGCAGTCAAACATAGAGTGAAGAGATGTCAATATTGGGATCTTAAATGTCTGTCAATATTGAGATCTTTAAGATCTGAGAATTAACATTCAATGACCAAATTCTGTTAGAAATCAAAATAGCGAAGATTAAGAGCCATCGCCCAGATTGATGGGCTGGAGAGTGGGGCCAGGGAATGGAACATCAAGGAGAACAAACTTCCCCAGGCTTCACATACACAGACACAGCTATACATCTTTTTATCGGGGTCATATTCAGACTTGTATTTCCTCCCAGCCAGGCAGTCTAGCCTTTGCATGTCTGAAGGCCAGGCTCTCTTTGGACGTTGCCTCTCCCAGCACACAAATCTTTTGCCTCAGCCATTCACTATATGATGCATATTGTTTTCTATGCTTGTGAATGATTGGGGCTTGGGTTTTTTGTTTACAGTGACATGGGGAGAGATAAATGGAGGTTGGGGGAGAGAAAGAAAAAGAAGGGAATGGTTGTGATTTGGGTAGTAGCAAGGTAAAGGTTTAGCTAGAGAAAAAGGCAAGGATTTGAATGTGAAGGGAAAAGGGAGGAGGAGACAAAATAAAAAAATGGAGTGGACTGAGGAACACATATACTCTGGAATATATGTTACTCAGCTCACCCTTAGGGGCTCCAGGCAGTCAAACAGTGTCTATCCTTAGTGAACAAGGTATGGGGAGAGGACAGCGTTTATTTCTCAGACTCCTTCTCACTCATGCTGAGGAATTATTGTTTCTGTCCTTCTTCTACACAGGAGATAACTGGAAGAAGAGCAATGTATACACCAAACAGAGTAAGCATTTTGAGCACAATGGGGGCTTTCCTAGATACCAGCAAATCCACAGTGAAGACGGAGATGCTGCCAAAGAAAGGCTATACAAATGCAATGTATGTGGACAACATTTTATCCAAAATATGGCACTTATGCTTCACAGGACACTCCATGCTGGGAAAAGCCATCTTAAGGTATCACCAAAATATGTTGCTAATTACAAATTGCCACATCTGAGCCAAGAAGAAATCTTTGAAGGAACTGAGGATTTCATTATCCAGGAGTGTGGGGAATCTTTTCTCCAGAGTTCACACATGGTAGAACATGAGTCATTCCACACAGGAGAGAAGCCACACCAATGCCAGGTGTGTGGAAAATATTTTGCTCACAGTTCAACCTTGGTAAGGCACAAAAGACTCCACACAGGAGAAAAGCCATACCACTGCCAGGAGTGTGGGAAATGTTTTACTCAGAGTTCAATATTGGTGAGGCACAAAAGACTTCACACAGGAGAGAAGCCATACCAATGCGAGCAGTGTGGGAAATGTTTTACTTACAGTTCAGACTTGGTGAGCCACAAAAAACTCCACACAGGAGAGAAGCCATACCAATGCCAGGAGTGTGGGAAATGTTTTACTTACAATTCAGACTTGGTGAGCCACAAAAGACTCCACACAGGAGAGAAGCCATACCTATGCCAGGAGTGTGGGAAATGTTTTACTTACAGTTCAGACTTGGTGAGGCACAAAAGACTCCACACAGGAGAGAAGCCATACCAATGCCAGGAGTGTGGGAAATGCTTTGTTGAGAAATCAGCCTTGGTGAGGCACGAAAGACTCCACACAGGAGAGAAGCCATACCAATGCCGGGATTGTGGGAAATGTTTCACTCAGAGTTCAATATTGGTGAGGCACAAAAGACTTCACACAGGAGAGAAGCCATACCAATGCCAGGAGTGTGGAAAATGTTTTACTTCCAGTTCAGACTTGGTGAGCCACAAAAGACTCCACACAGGAGAAAAGCCATACCAATGCCAGGAGTGTGGAAAATGTTTTGCTTCCTGTTCAGCCTTTGTGAACCATAAAAGAGTCCACACAGGAGAGAGACCATACCAATGCCAAGAGTGTGGGAAATGTTTTACTGACAGTTCAGACTTGGTGAGCCACGAAAGACTACACACAGCAGAAAAGCCATACCAATGCCAGGAGTGTGGGAAAGGTTTTGCTTCCCGTTCAGCCTTTGTGAGCCACAAAAGACTCCACACAGGAGAGAAACCATATCAATGCCAGGAGTGTGGGAAATGTTTCACTTCCAGTTCAGGCTTGGTGAGGCACAAAAGACTCCACACAGGAGAGAAGCCATACCAATGCCTGGAGTGTGGGAAATGTTTTACTCAGAGTTCAAGCTTGACGAGCCACAAAAGACTCCACACAGGAGAGTACGCATAACAATGCCAGGAGTGTGGGACCTGTTTTTCCTGCTGTTCAGCCTTGGTGAGACACAAAGGACTTCATAGAATCATAAAGTTGAAAGAGACCTCATGGGCCATTCTGTCCAACCTCCTGCCAAGAAGCATAAAAATCGCATTAAAAGTACCCCCAACAGATGGCCATCCAGCCTCTGTTTAAAAGCCTCCAAAGGAGGAGCCTCCACCACACTCCGTGACAGAGAGGTCCACTGCCAAACAGCTCTCACAGCAGGAAGTTCTTCCTTGTGTTCAGGTGGAATCTTCTTTCCTGTGGTTTGAAGCAGTTGTTCTTCATCCTAGTCTCCAGGGCCGCAGAAAACGAACTTGCTCCCTCCTCACGTCTTTATACGTGGCCATCATGTCTCCTCTCAGTCTTCTCTTTTGAAGGCTAAGCATGTCCAGCTCTTTAAGCCACTTCTCATAGGGTTTGTTCTCCAGATCCTTGATCATTTTGATCGCCCTCCAGCTTATCAACTTCCACCTTCAATTGTGGTGCCCAAAACCGGACACAGTATTTCAGATATGGTCTGACGAAGGCAGAATAGAGGGGTAATATGACTTCCCTGGATCTAGACGCTGGACCTCTATTTATTCAAGCCAAAATCCCATTGGCTTTTTTGCCACCCTATGATATTGTTGGCTCATTGCTGTCCACAAGGACTCCAATAATTTTTTCACATATACTACTCTCAAGCCACACGTCTCCCATTCTGTATCTTTGCATTTCAATTTTTCTGCCTAAGTGGAGTATCTTGCATTTGTCATTGTTGAACTTCATTTTATTAGTTTTGGCTATTCCTCCCAATTTGGTGTCATCTGCAAACTTGATGATCATGCCTTCTAACACTTCATTTAAGTCATTAATAAAGATGTTGAACAGGACCGGGCCCAGGACAGAACCCTGCTGATGGCACTCCGCTCGTCACTTCTTTCCAGGATGAAGAGGAAGCATTGGTGAAGACTCTCTGGGTTCATTTGCTTAACCAATTACAGATCCACCTAACCATAGTTTTGCCTAGCCCACATTGGACTAGTTTCCTTGCCAGAAGGTCATGGGGGACCTTGTCGAAGGCCTTACTGAAATCTGGATATGCTCCATCCACGGCATTCCCTGCATCTACCCAGCTTGTAACTCTATCAAAAAAAGAGATCAGATTAGTCAGGCATGACTTGTTTTTGATAAATCCATGTTGACTATTAGCGATGACCACATTTGTTTCTAAGTGTTTGCAGACCACTTCCTTAACCATCTTTTCCAAAATTATGCCTGGTATTGACGTGAGGCTGACTGGACGGGAATTGTTTGGATCATTCTTTTTTACCTTCTTGAAGTTAGGGACAACATCTGCCCTCCTCCAATCTGCTGAGACTTATCCCATTTTCCAAGAGCTCTCAAAGATGATCGGCAATGACTTCTGCTAGGTCCTTCAATACTCAATACTCCGCACAGGAGAGAAGCCATACCAATGCCAGTAGTGTCGGAAATGTCTTTTGAATTCCTAAGTTGAAGTCCCCTTCTCTGGAGCGGCTGAAAGCATGCTCCCTGTGGCAATCCTTTAGAGGGTTAAATACGATTGAGATGTCACTTATGTTTCAAAACATATGTAATTCCATCAATTATTCTCTAGGCTTAGTTTCAAGCTCCTTTACCACCTTGTTTGTAAATTTCCAGTTTGTGAGTCTTGTCTTTGAGCTGGGATTCCAGAATTGAACACAGTGCTTCTGTTGACGCCAAGGCAAAGGAAAAGATGCTGGTATGGTTATTTCCCTTGATCATATCTCTGGCTAGAATTTGCTGTCTGTTTCCTTGCTCCTGGCACACATACTTTTAATCCTCATTAAATTGAAAAACACGAGTCTTGTTGTTATTTTAGAGTCTATTTATTTATTTACATTATTTATATTTTGTCCTTCTCACCCCAAAGGAGACTCAGGGCGAACCACAGAACACATATACGGCAAACATTCGATTCTGACTATACAATGACATGACAGACAACAGATAGATGCATATTTAGGCTTCTTCTCATCATTCGGCATCTTTTGGAGGCTGTGCTTGGTTCTGGCCACAGGGGGGTGTTGTCACTCCATTTCCTTGCTGAACACCTCTTTGTTCGTAACTTGTTTCCAAAACGCCGTACCTAAGACACCCCCCCCCCCCCGCTCAATGCGGTTGCATTCATCTACTCACATTGCTGTATTCACTCCGCTAGGTGGGTGGGGGAGCTGGGATGAAGGTCAGGAGCTCACTCTGACCTGGCTTCGAACTTTCAATTGGTAAGATTTACTGCTTCTGCAGCTGCTGATTAACCTGCTGTGCTATAAACAGCCTAATGTTATTGTGACGATGTGTAGATTTTATTCCTTTGGTTATGTGTAGTTTGGACAGTGGTTTAGGGATGGTAAGTATGGGAGATTATATTTTGTTAGAGATGGTGGCTAGTGGCTTGAGCTGAGTTGCCATAGCAACGGGGGCGGAGCCAACTATCACTTCACGGCGCAGCTTTTTGAAAGTGGCAGTCTGTGGCCAGTGAGCTACAGGAAGGGACTGATTTCTCTAGTGGGAGAAACAGGGAATTTGTCAGTGGCCGGAGAGCTACTGAGAGAACACTGAATCTTTTGGTGGAGATTCAGGGAATCAATTGGTGACCAAGTAGTTGCAGAGAAGGACCCGGTTCAGGGGGTTGTTGATTCTGAATTAAGAATCAAGGTTTGGCTGGGTTTAAGCCTGTTGTGCCAGCTGTGAAACCTTATGAAGTGTTTGCCTGAGTTTACTCATGAAACCTTTCCAATGTATCCATCAAGATTTGTGCCTCTTTTGAAGAACAGTTATACATTGTTATACTCCTGTTAAAATAAACTTGTTACTGTTTTCCTCAAGCCTTGCCTGATACAGTTGCTCCTAAGTTGAACAGCCTACAATAATAAAGTCAAGCCAAGAAAGTAAACGCTACGCTATCAAGTGAATAAAGCCTTCTGTAATTAACAGTCCCTTTATAAAATAGCTCCTAGGTTGATATTGATCGTTGCCCGGCTTCCCTCATAGATAAGGTGGCAGTGGGTGCTTTACCACGCGCACCTTCACAATTGGTGGCATTCGGTGGCATTAAAACGGTCATCGTTACAATTGGTGGCAGCAGTTTAACGACTCCTTCACAGTTATATATCATTGATTTTGTTATAGAATTTTATCTATTTTGCAAATTTTAATTCTCTGGATGTTATATTAAGGAAATAATAATCACTTTTAATTGAACTGCAAATAATAATAATAATAATAATAATAATAATAATAATAATAATAACAACAACAAGCCGTCCCCTGCCAGGCGTTGCTGTGGCCCAGTCTGGTGATCTGGAAAATAAAGTAATGAGAAAGTGTTGGTTTCTAATATATGTAATGTCTTTCTGCTTGTGGGTAAACAATATTTCTTGCTGTTTCTTTGCCAGTGTTGATGTGGAGATTGTCTGGTTTGCCTACTGGAACATGCAACATATCATTGTCCTTCTTTAGGGGTCCCTTTCAAATCTTTGATACTGCATCTGTCATATACATGTGTGTGTGTGTGTGTGTGTGTGTGTGTGTGTGTGTGTGTGTGAATGGCTGGATGGCCCTTTGTCAGGAGGGCTTTGATTATGTTTTCTTGCCCTGGTGAAGGGAGTTGGACTGGATGGCCTTAAGGCAGCATTTCTCAACCTGGGAAGATAAGACCCAGGTGGGGGGTCGCCAGGGTGGTGTTAGAAGGGTCACCAAAGACCACCAGAAAACACATAATTTTCTGTTGGTCATGGGGGTTCTGTGTGAGATGTTTGGCCCAATTCCATCGTTGGTGGGGTTCAGAATGCTCTTTGATTGTAGGTGAACTACAAATCCCAGTAACTACAACTCCTAAATGCCAAGGTCTGTTTCCCCCAAACTCAATCTGTGTTTATATTTGGGCATATTGCGTATTCGTGCCAAGTTTGGTCCAGATCCCTCATTGTTTGAGTCCACAGTGCTCTCTAGATATAGGTGAACTACAACTCCAAAACTCAAGGTCAATGCCCACCAAACCCTTCTAGTGTTTTCTATTGGTCAGGGGAGTCCTGTGTGCCAAGTTTGGTTCAATTCCATCGTTGGCGGAGCTCAGAATGCTCTTTGATTATAGGTGAACTATAAATCCCAGCAACTACAACTCCCAAATGACAAAAATCATAATTTTTGAGTGATGGTCACTCCTTGTGTAATGAGATGTTTTGTTGCCAAATTTGGTGTGATTTCGTTCATTGGTTCTTTTGTTTTTAAGGTACTCATTATGCACAGAGCATTTATATATATATAGATAGATGATAATAATAATAACAATAATAACAACAATAATAATAATATACTTCCGAATTCAGACAGAGTTCTGGAGCACAATACTCCTGACCTCATGATCGTGTTAAAAAACAAAGGATGCTTGCCATAGATGCAGGCGAAACGTCAGGAGAAATGCCTCTAGAACATGGCCATATAGCCCGAAAAAACCCACAAGAACTGAAAGTATGGATTGTCGATGTCACAATCCCAAGTGATAGCAGGATTGAAGAGAAACAACTGGAAAAGCTGACACGATATGAGGATGTAAAGATCGAACTGCAAAGAGTCTGGCACAAGCCAGTCAAGGTGGTCCCAGTGGTGATCGGCACACTGGGTGCAGTGCCTAAAGACCTTGGCCTGAACTTAAATACAATCGGCGCTGACAAAATTAACATCTGCCAGCTGCAAAAGGCCACCTTACTGGGATCTGCACTCATTATTCGCCAATACATCACACAGTCCTAGACACTTGGAAAGTGTCCAACGTGTGATCCAATACAACAGCAAGCAGAGTGATCTTGTCTGCTGTGGACTCATCTTGTTGTGTTTCTAATAATAATAATAATAATAATATTTATTTTTGTATCCCGCCACCATCTCCGCGAAGGGACTCGGAGTGGCTTACATGAGGATGAGCCCAGTCAAGCATAGATTAAAATAAACACATCATAAAACAACATAAAAACAACTATCAACAAACAACCAATAGCCTGACATGGTAGTCAAATTGCTAAACTTGGGTGGGCAGGGGCTTGCGTAATACAGTTGCAAGGATAGGGCTGATGGAAAAAGTGCAGGAGCCAGATGATAAATTGGGGCTAGAAGGGCAATGTCAATTAGAACAATATATCTATAGGGCAGGGGCTAGACGGGCAATTACAACAATATATAGGGCAGGAAACAGTGGTAAAGTATTGTCGAAGGCTTTCATGGCCGGAATCACTGGGTTGTTGTAAGTTTTTCCGGGCTATATGGCCATGTTCTAGAGTGGTAAAGTAGATGGAGGCTCTGCTCTGCTCCCTGAATGGACTGATTATCTTTAATGTTCGGTAGAGTTGGGGAGAAAGGGTTTGGCAGGGAGAGAATAGTAATGGTAAAGATTTCCCCCTGCCATTAAGTCCAGCCCTGTCTGACTCTGGGGGCTGGTGCTCATCTCCATTTCTAAGCTGAAGAGCCGGTGTTGTCTATAGACACCTCCAAGGTCATGTGGCCGGCATGACTGCACGGAGCGCCATTACGGTACCTATTGATCTACTTGCCATTACGGTACCTATTGATCTATTCGCCATTACGGTACCTATTGATCTACTCGCCATTACGGTACCTATTGATCTACTCGCCATTACGGTACCATAGAATCATAGAATCAAAGAGTTGGAAGAGACCTCATGGGCCATCCAGTCCAACCCCATTCTGCCAAGAAGCAGGAATATTGCATTCAAATCACCCCTAACAGATGGCCATCCAGCCTCTGTTTAGAAGCTTCCAAAGAAGGAGCCTCCACCACACTCCGGGGCAGAGAGTTCCACTGCTGAACGGCTCTCACAGTCAGGAAGTTCTTCCTATGTTCAGATGGAATCTCCTCTCTTGTAGTTTGAAGCCAATGTTCCATTGCGTCCTAGTCTCCAGGGAAGCAGAAAACAAGCTTGCTCCCTCCTCCCTGTGGCTTCCTCTCACATATTTATACAAGGCTATCATATCCCCTCTCAGCCTTCTCTTCTTCAGGCTAAACATGCCCAGCTCCTTAAGCCGCTCCTCATAGGGCTTGTTCTCCAGACCTTTTATCATACCTATTGATCTACTCGCCATTATGGTACCTATTGATGTACTCACCATTACGGTACCTATTGATCTACTGGCCATTACGGTACCTATTGATCTACTGGCCATTACGGTACCTATTGATCTATTGGCCATTACGGTACCTATTGATCTACTCGCCATTACTGTACCTATTGATCTACTCGCCATTACGGTACCTATTGATCTACTCGCCATTACGGTACCTATTGATCTACCCGCCATTACGGTACCTATTGATCTACCCGCCATTACGGTACCTATTGATCTACCCGCCATTACGCCCTGGTGGAGCAGTGGGTTAAACCCTTGTGCTGGCAGGACTGAAGACTAACAGGTCAGAGGTTCGAATCCAGGGAGAGGCCGATGAGCTCCCTCTATTAGCTCCAGCTCCTCATGCGGGGACATGAGAGAAGCCTCCCACAAGGATGATAAAACATCAAAAATCATCCAGGCGTCCCCTGGGCAACGTCCTTGCAGACGGCCAATTCTCTCACAACAGGAGCGGTTGCTCTTGACACGACAAAAAAAAAATCTACTCGCCATTACTGTACCTATTGATCTACTCGCCATTACGGTACCTATACGATCTGCCTCTTCGCTGATGGCTTTTCGGAAATCACTGAAAACTTGGTTGTTTAAACAAGCATTCGGTTAGTCTGTTATCACCGAACTTTGCTGACTAAGGACTGGTTAATGATGGGTGACGAATTCTGGATTGTGATTTTATTGACGAGATGCTTGGTATGATTATTGGTGGCCCAATAATTTGTATTGTTTATGTACTGCTGTTTTAAATTGTATATTGTTTTTAACTGCTGTAAACCGCAATGAGTCGCCGTCTTAGGCTGAGATATTAGCGGTATACAAGTGTATAAAATAAAAAAAAAAAAATAATACTTGCATTTGCATGTTTTCAAACTGCTAGGTTGGCAGAAGCTGGGGCTAACAGCGAGAGCTCACGCCGCTCCCCAGATTAAAATCTGTGACCTTTTGGTCTGCAAGTTCAGCAGCTCAGTGCTTTAACCAGCTGTGCCACTGGGGGCTCCACTCTGAGATTGTACCACCAGAAAAACAGTCTGTTATGGTGCTGGATTGTGCTGCTTTCTTTTCCTTGCTTTTAGACTTTAGGGAAAATTCATTCTGCCCCCGGATCACTAATCCTTTCTGACCCAAGTGGTGGGACATGGTGATGTATAGTTTATTCTCTTCAGTCCTTTGGTTCCAGGGCTTTGGAGAGATGCTCTTTCCCCCTCCTTAGAGTGTAATGCTGGGCAAGGAAGGGTTAAGGGGAGGGAGTTTGGTTCCTAGAGAGGCAGGAAGTGAGCCTCCTTATACCTGTCTTTCCTGTCCCTCTAGGAACCAAACTCCCTCCCCTTCACCCTTCCTTGCCTGTCTTGTCAGCCTCTCCTACCTCCTTCTTCCAGCTGAAAGAATCACATGTGGGTTGGGACTGAATGGGAGCTCAATGGGAGGCTAGGTGAGGCCAGGTGGGTCTGGAGGCTGGAGGAGCAGAGGCCCAAGTGGAAGGAGGGCCCAGCATTACCTGGCTCTGAAATTAATAATGGACTTTTTTTTGCTGTCCAAGAAGCCTGTTGTCTAATTCTGACTTTCTTTCACAGAGGAAATGTGTTTGTTGGCTGAGAATTTTGGAGTCCAGCCTGTTGAGGGATTTCTTTCCCTTCAGAGAAGAGGGAAGAAAAGCATCTTAGATACGGTTTGGTTCTTCATCAGAGTGTTTCCAACATGGAGAGACCCAACCCACCTGGACCTGAAGCAGGCAGTGTCCCCGGGAGCAGTGGGGAATCCTGGGAAGGAACTACGCAGACATCCCTGAATGCGCACATATGGTGCCAGCGCTTCAGGCATTCCTCCTTCCGAGAGGGCGAGGGACCCAGAGAGGTTTGCAGCCGCCTCCACTCTCTCTGCCGCCAGTGGCTGAAGCCAGAGCAACACACCAAGGCGGAGATGCTGGACCTGGTGATCCTGGAGCAGTTCCTGAGCATCCTGCCCCCAGAGATGGGGAGCTGGGTCCGAGAGTGTGGGGCAGAGACCTCTTCCCAGGTGGTGGCCCTGGCGGAAGGCTTCCTCCTGAGTCAGGCAGAGGACGGGGAGCAGGAAGGACAGGTGAGAGCATTGCCTCTTGGCTTCACTCACCTTGGGACTGATGGATAGTGTAAACCTATATCCTGCCTTCATTCCAAGATGGGACCAAAGTGAGGCGGAAGCTGGACTCTGCTCCCTTGGCCTCTTTTCCCACCTACTCTGCCCCGCCTGCTCTCACCTCCATATCCACCGTAAGCATGGTTACTGCTCTACTCAAATTTTAAAATGATGGGAGGTGGAATGTGGCCAATCACAGAATGCAGTTTCTGCACATTTGGAAAATAACCCTTTTCTAATCTTTCTCCACGCTGAACTTCTCTGTGAGGCAGAAGCCATACTCTGCTCCCTCGGCCTCTTTTCCCACTTGCTCTGCCCCTTCTGCTCTCACCTCCATATCTGCTTGCAGCTCCGTTGCTCCTCTATCAAATTTGTTGACCTCAAATATCACATTGAAAATGATGGGAGGTGGAGTATGGCCAATCTCATTTGGAAAAAAATCCTTTTCTAATCTTTCTCTATTGTATTGTTGAAGGCTTTCATGCCCGGAATCACTGGGTTGTTGTGTGTTTTTTTTGGGGTGTATGGCCATGTTCTAGAGGCATTCTCTCCTGAGGAGAATGCCTCTAGAACAGTGGTTCTCAACCTGGGGTCCCCAGATGTTTTTGGCCTACAATTCCCAGAAATCCTAACAGCTAGTAAACTGACTGGGATTTCTGGGAGTTATAGGCCAAAAACATCTGGGGACCCAAGGTTGAGAAGCACTGCTCTAGAATATGACCATATAGCCCGAAGAAACCCACAACAACCCAGTTTCTCTATTGTACTTAAGTAATTCTATGTGTTCTTTCAGGCCCAAAATAAGTGTACTGAAGTCCAGCCTGATGTCCCTGCATCGGAGAAATCTCACTCAAACACAACCCAGAGCCTCCAGCAGAAGGATCTCAAGCAGGGAGGAGATGAACCTGCAGCCTTGGCGGGTAAGAAGGAACCCTTCTGGGAGTGCTGATGTTTTATGCCCCTGTAAACTCCCCTTCATAGGGATTCTAGCAAATCCAGTTTGAGCTTGAGAAGGTGCACATGCAGGATCATTTGGCCATGAGATGAGGATATAGGTATGGAATGGATAAAAAGTGATTAAGCCAATGTAAATATTGTGCAAAGATAGTAAAAGCTGAGCTCATGGATGAATTTAAACTTATAACGGAACTTGTGGTATGGGTTTGGGGCAGGGGAAATAAATAAAAGTGACAGGATTTAGATATATTAAATAAATGAGGGAATAATATTAAAGGGAGGAAGAGTGAGAAATAGGAAGTGGCTGGGGAAACGTGGTCATAGATAAATGACGTGTATCGAATAAATGTATAAAATCTACTCATATAACCAGTAATATCAATAATATTAATAATAATAATAAACATAATAATAATAAATCTTTTTTTTTTAAAGATGAATATATAGCTAGGCATTTGGTTGCTAAAAGTATAATTTCAGTTTGATTTGCAGTTTTTTCCAGCAATCTGCATACTGCTGGCTGGGACTGAGAAATCAGCCCTTCAGTATCTTCCCAGGAGGGATCCAAAGCTCAGATGAGCCATGAAATTGATCTGGAAGACAAGCAGACAACAAAGAATAACTTTAGTCAGTTTGAAATACCAAGCCCAGTACTAGTGTTAATCCAACCTATTCACAGCACTGGTTGAGAGAAAAAGTCCTAAATTCCAAATCTTTACCTATTCCTGGGCTGGTGAATGTTCCTGTGTTCATAGGGTCATTTCCTCCTAGGTTTCTTTTTAGGACTGCAATTCTCTCCTCTGAGACATGTTTATGTGATCAGCTTTCCACCCCTTGCTCGCTCTCTCTCCCAGGGGCTGGAATGATGTTGAGGCCGAATCCTCAGTCGTTTCTTCCGCTGTGTGATGGAGTGGAACTGAATCAGGTAAGCAGAAGGATTCCTGGGAGAGGAGGAAGGGAGCTGCCTGGGGGTCATTTCTTCCAGGCTTAACCATCAAACATCTCTTGAAACAGAAAGAATTGAATTGGAGTTTCATAAAAGTGAGATAATGAAGGCACAATTGCAAACAAGGACAAAAAAAATAGGAGAAATCTAAAGAAACAAGAATAAATGTCCAAAGATCTTCCAGGTGAGCTAAGATTTTAAAGGGATGTGTACAAGAAATGGAAAGAGGGCCAGGGAGGGACGGGAATCCCCAAAGAAGAGTTCACACGACTAACCAGCATAAGTAGGGAAAAGTTCTGAGAAGCTACAGCAGAAAATGAGCTCAGGCTTGCCAGAAAGATTGAAAACAACGAAAGGGGGTTCTTTGGTTGTGTCAAAAAAAAAAAAGAGCAAACAGTAGGGTTTACTCAACAGTCTCCCTGAGCTAGCCGGGGTGGTCTCAGGGTTGGCCTTGGAGTCTCAGCGGCTAATCGTGCTGAGAGACATCAACATAATAATAATGCAAAACTTTATTTATATTCCGCTCTATCTCCCCGAGGGGGACTCAGGGCAGTTTCCAAGTAACATCACCAAAACACACGGAGTAAACAGCATGACATAAAATTAACAAAACAACATAAGCACAGAATTATCACAATAACACATATATATTAAAAAATAATCCTGCCTGTTCAGAGCAATTAAAAAGCCGGGCCAAGTCTAGTGCAAACTCAAACTGTGGCATGGAGGCCTTAGCCCTTTTCCTTTCAAACAACCAACAGGAATGTAAATCGACTCTAAAGGGTTTCTTGTAATTATTTTTCTTGTTAGCCCTTGTATGAGAAGGAAATGTGTTCTTTTTCCACCAGGGCCCAATCGTCTTTGAGGACATGGCTGTTCATTTCTCTTTGGAGGAGTGGGCTCTCCTGAATCCTGATCAGAAAGCCTTGCACGTGCAGATCATGGAGGAGATTCATGGGATGGTGGACTCTCTTGGTAAGGCTCCCTCACTCATGAGGATTTCTATTTCAAAATGCAGTTTCCCAGTTAGCAGCTCCCTGGTGGGAGCATCGATCCTAAATCATCACAGTCTGTGAGAGTTCTTAAGGCAGAGCTTATGTTAGGAATATATGACATAAGAGTTCCAGGGCCAAAGAAGCAGATCGTGAAAACCGAAGAACAGCTTGCCTCAGGGGAGCGTGCTTGCTCCATCAATGTTCAACATTTATACAAATGACCAGCCACTACCAGAAGGGCCGGAGAGTTTCATCTATGCTGAGGATCGTGCCATTATTGCTCAAGCAGGGAGCTTCGAGATGGTTGAACAAAAGCTCTCCAAAGCTCTAGCTGCCCTTACTGCTTATTACAGGGAAAACCAGCTGATCCCTAATCCATCTAAAACACAGACATGTGCTTTTCACCTTAAGAACAGACAAGCATCCTGAGCTCTGAGGATCACCTGGGAAGGAATCCCACTGGAGCATTGCAGCGCACCCAAATACCTGGGAGTTACCCTGGACCATGCTCTGACCTACAAGAAGCACTGCCTGAATATCAAGCAAAAAGTGGGTGCTAGAAACAATATAATATGAAAGCTGACTGGCACAACCTGGGGATCACAACCAGACACAGTGAAGACATCTACCCTTGTGCTATGCTATTCTGCTGCTGAGTATGCATGCCCAGTGTGGAACACATCTCACCACGCTAAAACAGTGGATGTGGCTCTTAATGAGACATGCCACATTATCACGGGGTGTCTGCGCTCTACACCTCTGGAGAAATTACACTGTTTAGCCGGTATTGCATCACCTAACATCCACCAGGAAGTAGCAACCAATAGTGAAAGGACCAAGGCAGAGACATCTCCGACCCACCCACTGTTTGGGTATCACCCAGCAGACTAATGACTTAAATCAAGAAATAGTTTTCTAAGATCTATAGAAACACTCGCTGGAACACTCCAGCAAGTGAGAGTCCAAAAGTGGCAGGCTCAAACTCAGAACGTCAATCAATGGCGGATACCAAATGAGAGACTCCCCCCTGGTCACACAGAAAACTGGGTGACTTGCAAGGCACTGAACAGACTGCGCTCAGGCACCACGAGATGCAGAGCCAACCTTCAGAAATGGGGCTACAAAGTGGAATCCACAACATGCGAGTGTGGAGAAGAGCCAACCACAGACCACCTACTGCAATGCAACCTGAGCCCTGCCACATGCACAATGGAGGACCTTCTTGCAGCAACACCAGAGGCACTCCAAGTGGCCAGATACTGGTCAAAGGACATTTAATTAAATGCCAAGTTTGCAAACTTTGTGCGTTTTTTGCTTGCTGTTTTTTAAATACAATACAACTGTTTTGTTAGCTTCTTGACATGATAAATAAATAAATAAGAGTAATATTGACTTGGTGCCTGAGCAACAGTCATCTTAGCACTATTTTGGACTCCAGAATAACTGGAGTCAAGTTCAAGCGTACCACACTCCCTCACAGCAACTGGCCTCCCTGGAAAACCTCTAAAGAGTGATCACTCCATATCAGTCACTCACTCTCTCTCTCTCTCTCTCTCAGAGAGAGAGAGGAAGGGAGAGGGAAGAAGCAGATTTTCATAAGTAACCCAGTAAACCTCTCCTGACTTCAGCCCCCCCCCCCCTTTAAACAACCTGCTTTTGCGTCCTCTATATCCTTGGATGGTTTGGAAAGACACTTCATTCCTGAAGCCAAATGGAGTCTGGAAAATGATGGGAAAGAGTGGTTTTGCAAAAGCAGACTTGCTCTGGATGTCTGCTGACAGGCTTCTTCCCAGTAACTCGGGCTCCCTGGACATCTATTAAGAGCCATCGCAAAGGTTGATTGGCTGAAGAGTGGGACCAACTAATGGAGCATCAAGGAGAACAGACTTCCCCAGGCTTCCCATACACAGACACAGTTATACATCTTTTATCAGGGTCATATTCAGACTTGTTTTTCCTCCCAGCCAGGCAGTCCAGCCTCTGCATGCCCGAAGGCCAGGCTCTCTTTCTACGCTGCCTCTCCCAGCATGCATACTGTCCCTAGCCTCAGCCATTTACATGATGGTGACCTGCAACAAAATGTGTTCTATGTTCTGTGCTTGTGAATGATTGAGGCTCAGGGGTTTTTGTTTACTGTCACATGAGGAGAGAGAACTGGAGGTTGGGGGAGAGAAAGAAAAGGAAGGGAATGATTGTGAAATGGGTGGTAGCAAGGTAAAGGTTTAGTTAGAGAAAAAGGCAAGGATTTGAATGTGAAGGGAAAAGGCAGAAGGAGTCAGATTAAAAAAAAAACATACCTGGCTGAGCAACAGGTATACTCTGGAACTTATATTATTCAGCTCACCTTTAGAGGCTCCAGGCAGTCAAACAGTGTCAATCCTTGCTGAACAAGGGGTGGGGAGAGGACAGTGTTTATATCTTAGACTCCTTATCACTCACATTGAGGTATAATTGTGTCTGTCCTTCTTCACAGCAGATAACTGGAATAAGAGCAATGTATACACCAAATGCAGTAAGCATTTCGGGTACGATGGCGGCCTTCCTAGACACCAGCAAAACCACAGAGAAGATGGAGGTTCTACCAGAGAAAGGCCCCACAAATGCAATGTATGTGGCCAGTGTTTTACCCAAAACATGGCACTTGTCCTTCACAAGACACTCTGTGCTGGGAAAAGCCATCTTAAAGGGAAAGTATCAGCAAAATGTGTTGCTGATAACAAATTGCCACATCTGAGCCAAGAAAAGATCTTTGAAGGAACTGAGGATTTCATAAGCCAGGAGTGTGGGAAATCTTTTATTCAGAGTTCAAACTTGGTGCTACATGAGAGATGTCACACAGGAGAGAAGCCACACCAATGCCAAGAGTGTGGGAAATGTTTTACTAACAGTTCACATTTAGTGATCCACAAAAGACTCCACACAGGAGAGAAGCCATACCAATGCCAGGAGTGTGGGAAATGTTTTGCTTACAGTTCAGTCTTGGTGAGGCACAAAAGACTCCACACAGGAGAGAAGCCACACCAATGCAAGGAGTGTGGGAGATGTTTTAGTCAGAATGCACACCTTATAGAACATGGGAGATCACACACAAGAGAGAACTCATACAAATGCCAGGAGTGTGGGAAATGTTTTGCTCGCAGTTCATACTTGGTGAGGCACAAAAGACTCCACACAGGAAAGAAGCCATACCAATGCCAGGAGTGTGGCAAATGTTTTGCTCGCAGTTCATACTTGGTGAGGCACAAAAGATCCCACACAGGAGAGAAGCCATCCCAATGCCAGGAATGTAAGAAATGTTTTGCTCACAGTTCACTCTTGGTGAGGCACAAAATAATCCACACAGGAGAAAAACAATACCAATGTCAGGAGTGTGGGAAATGTTTTGCTCGCAGTTCACACTTGGTGAGGCACAAAAGACTCCACACAGGAGAGAAGCCATACCAATGCCAGGAGTGTGAGAAATGTTTTGCTGACAGTACACAATTGGTGAGCCACAAAAGATCCCACACAGGAGAGAAGCCATACAAATGCCAGGAGTGTGGCAAATGTTTTGCTTGCTGTTCAGCCTTGGAGAGGCACAAAAGACTCCACACAGGAGAGAAGCCATACCAATGCCAGGAGTGTGGGAAATGTTTCACTCAGAGTTTATCCCTTGGGAGCCACCAGAGAATCCATAGAAGAGAAAAATCATCCAAAGAGTTAGGACAAAAGTAATAATGTGAACTGCAACCGTGAAATTTTAGTTGTGGGCATTCTTGTACCATAGACTATGCATTTAATATTTTTCAATGAACACGTGTGATTCTCTTGGCTTCCAGTAACATGGCTTGTCTTTGGACTGATTTCTTAGACAATTCTCTTCTTGGTTTTGAACTCTGTTCAGGTTTTTTCTTCTTCTTTGCTTTGCTTGACTTGGGACTGTTTTGGAGAACTCTTTTGCTTCTCTGTTCATGGGCATCACCATGGGACTGGACTGGCTTTACTCTGTCAGCCTTCGTGGGTAAACATCTGATTTCAAACAGGATCGGGTTGCTGTAAGTTTTTCAGGCTGTATGGCCATATTCCAGAAGCATTCTCTCCTGATGTTTTGCCTGCATTTATGGCAGGCATCTGCAGAGGTTGTGAGGTCTGTTGGAAACGAAGAAAATTGGGTTTATATATCTGGGGAGTGTCCAGGGTGTCTGTTGGAGGTAGATGTGAAATGGCCATGAAATTTCAGCCATGAAAGCCTTTGACACACATCAGACAGGACCATTTGAGAAGTCCTGCCTAAGATTTGGTAGAGGCCACTTCCTTGTCTTTTCAATACCTAAGTTGAGGGGGTGCTGTTGCTCCGTCTCCTTGCCAAAAAGTTTTATTTGTTTGTAAATCTTTCTCCGAAACGCCGTGCCTAAGATACCTCCCCACTTAACATGGTTCTTCTTCATCTACTCACATTGCTGTATTCAATCGGTTAGGTAGGCAGGGGAGCTTGGCTGAAGGTCAGGAGCTCACCCTGACACGTCTTCAACTGTCAACCTTTCGGTTGGCAAGATTTACTTCAAGTGCAGCAGGTGAAAAACAGAGGCAGCCCTAGATAATTTTCAATGGTAAGCAAACAGTATTTTGGTGCCCTCCCCCCCAAACCAATCACTGATATATATTTTCTGTTCGTCGTAGGAGTTCTGTGTGCCATATTCGGTTCAATTCCATCATTGGTGGAATTCAGAATGTTGGTGGGCAGGAAAAGAGATTTAAAGATGTCCTTAAAGCCAACCTTAAAAGCTCTGGCATAGACACTGAGAACTGGGAAGCCCTGGCCTTTGAGTGCTCCAGCTGGAGGTCAGCTGTGACCAGCAGTGCTGTAGCATTTGAAGAAGCATGAATGGGGGGTGAAAAAGAGAAACATGTTTGGCCCCATACTATATTCTCCCCTGCCAGTTTAAAGGCCTGTCTCCAGCACTTCGTTTCCAATTATTATCTCCCACACAAATATTTCCC